ATGCACAGCTGCCAGCTGCACAGCTGCATCCCAGAGCGCTGCTGGGCAGCCATCCACAGGGGCGGCTCATCACTCACGGCACAGGGCGGTGGCTCCCTTGCCTGTGGCAGGTCCTCTGGGAGGAACACCAGCTCGCCCCCCACTGTGCCGTACGGCCAGGATGTGACGTTGCCTTGGTCTGTGGCCGTGCCCTTGACACCCACCTGGCAGCAGGGCATGAGGTGGCAGCGGCGGGGGCGGCACGGTGAGGCGCCCGGCATCGTGCGGTCCATCGATGCAGGGACGCCGTGGCGGGGATCCACGGCGGGATGCAGGGGCGGCAGCCGGCCAACAGCACACCCCACAGCCCCGACGCCACCAGTGCCTGCCCCTGCCCAGCGCCCACGCACCGAGCCCAGGATGCCGGAGGGCGTGGCGGGGCAGGCGGGCATGAGCGGGTCGCAGGGCACTTGGTTGATGATGTCGTCGGCGTAATCGACCATCCGGCCGTTCACCAGCTGGTTGTAGGCATCCACAAAGGAGGAGTCACCCACCTGGGGCGGCGCAAACAGCACCGCTTGCACCACGGGGGCCTGCCGGGGAGGTGGCAGCGTGGCAAGGAGGCTTGTGAGAGATGCTGGGGCAGCGCACGAGTGCACCCATGCACTGTCACCTCACACCAGCACTATCACGCCCCACCCACACCACACCGCCCACCTCGTCAGGGCCCATGGATGCAGCCAGATAGTCTGCCGCCGCAAAGGCCACCATGGTGCCGATGCCGGCGCCCAGCGAGTGCCCCGTCACCCACACCTCAGGCGGCGGGCCGCCGCTGTCCACCACCAGCGCATCCAGGGCCGCCTGCGCCGCGGGCCAGATCTGCAGCGGCGCAGGGCAGGGCGGTTAGGCGGCGGCCGGGGGCAGGCTTGTGCTGCCCCACAACTCCTCGACCACAGCAAGGCCGTGCCTGCTCTCAAACTAAAAAAAACAGGCAGCAGCCGCCCAGCCAGCCGCCGCCCCAGCCAGCCGCCGCACCTCCTGGAAGATGGAGGCGAAGCCAAAGGACACGTTGCCGCCAAAGATAGCCTGGATCTCGGGGTCGGCTGTCTGCGGTGGCAAGCAGCGGGAATGGGTGGGGTGCCGACAAGAGGTAGGCGGGATCGAAGCGAGGCGGCGCAAGCTTCATGCATGGAGAGGGGACATCTGGCGTGAGTGCATCCGCTAAACAAGCCGTCTGAAAGCTTGGGCACGTGCATGGGCCCCACCTGGTTATCTGCAAGGCGACAAAACAATAGAGCAGTGTTTTCTCAGGGGCTGCTGGGCGACAGCGGAGTTCACATTGTCAGTGGCCCGCCACAAGCATTGTCGACGGCACACACTCACACTCGAAGTTCTTCGTCCACTCGTAGCTGCCCACAGTGCTCCGCACAACCAGCAGAACCTGATTGGTTTGGTTGTTGTGCAACACAAACAGCATGGGGAGAGGCGGGCCGCTGGCCTGCGCCAGATCTCCCGTGGCCTCCAGGCTCCAGCCCGGAGGCAGCGGCAGGCTGGCGTTGGGCTGGGGCGAGCAGGGGGCGTAGACATAGGCGTTCCGGGAGAAGCGGAACCTGTAAGGGGAGGCGGCAAGGCATCCAGCAGGCCGGCCAGGTGGGCATCTGCAGCCGGGCGGGCAGTGCGGCAGGAGCCTGCTGCTTGTCCTGCCGTCGCGGCACACGCGCACTGCTGCTGCATTGCCCTTGTGCCCTCTGCTGGGCAAGGCACGCGGTGGGCAGCCCCACGCGCAACGCTCACAGCTGAAAGTAGGTGGCGCCCTCCTCGGCAAACACCGCGGCGGCGTCCTCAAACTCGGGTGGCAGCGGCCTGGCGTCCCTGAGCGCAGTCAGCACCCCCGATCCCGGCATCTGCAGCAGCGGCGGCACGGGGCGGAGGGTGGGACCCTGTCAGATGCGGACACCATGGCGGGAGCAGGTGCGGCAGGCGGCGCCAGTGATGCACATGCTGCTCGGCTAAGGCCCCGCCCTTCCCATCAGCCCTGCTCGCCTGGTCCAGAGAGGTGGTGCTGGGGCTGCCGCAGCGTGGCGGCTCGTGGTTGCCGCCATCTGTCAGGCCCAAGTCTATGAGCGCCAGGAAGTCGCATGCCTGCTGCCGCGTCTGGTTCTGGGTGAGCCTGCATGCCATGCATGGATCCACGTGCAGGGGGTGGCTGAGCAGGTGTGGCCAAAGCCATGCGTAGCCAACCGGCATGGGTGCACTGGGCATGGGGCGGGGCGGGGCTCAAGCGAGCTGCCGAGGCACTCCACCATACCCACTCAAAGGGGGAAGGGGGAATTACCCACCAGGAGCAGAAGGAGCGAGACGGCGGCTCCGGCAGGCTGCCAATGAAGGCGCCGACCAGGGATGGCTCCACGCCCATCTGCTCAGCCAGCCCAGTGCAGACCGGCCCCACGGTTTCCGCAGCGAAGGTGGCCGGCGACGCCGCAGCCAGCACTGCAGAGGGCATGGCAACAGGGCGGCAGCGGGCGGGAGGCGGCGGGTTGGCGGCGGGAGCGGTCCTGCTGCTTGCCAGTGACGATCGGCTAGCGTTGGCGCCTGTTTGATGGCTTGATCTCTGGGCGCAGACAGAGGTTGTTGCCAGAACTTGCTGTTCGCCACCGTTTCACAGCTGTGAGGCAAGCTCACCGGCCGCCACCAGCGCCAAGGCCAGCCCTCCCATGGCTGATGCTATAGTTGGAGGAAGGAATCGGATGCCGAAACGAAGTGCAAGTCCTTTGGCAGGTGACATCACCCCTGACCGCCACCTCGCCGCCATAGCGCCGGAAGCAAGGCGCCCTTCTGAGGTACTTCCTTCTGATGAACGGAACTGGTGTGATAAACACTATGTGTGATAGGCCATTACATCTTTGAATATGGATATGGTCGTTTGCCTCTGCAAGAGCACCAGTGCTCAGTCGGTGCCGCTCTTGCACATAGGCCATGGCGGGCTGTCAATGCTGACCCTCATATTATTGTACCCTCCCAGAATCATCGTAAGCATCCCAATCATCGTTAAGCATCCCCTGCAACTGGCATTGGTAGACTGGAAGAGGCAGGGCCGCGGCCGTGGCCGCGGCAGCGGGAGGCGGTGCGCGTCATGGCGGTGAGCTTCACGGCTCTTGCATCCGCTTCCATGGGCTTCTTCGCCAATCCATGGATTGTTTCCATCAACGGGCAAGCCTAAAATGAGGCGTTGCAACGCGTTGGGGGCCATACGCGCTGGGGGCAACACATGCATCGCCACCAGGGCGCCAGAAAGAACAACTGTCGCAGCCTCTGCATGCATTTCCATCTTTGATACGCAGATCACGGTTGGCGCAGCAGCGTTTTTGTTGGGTAGAGGCCAGGGGCGGCAGCCAACACCGAGCGTGCCCTAGCAGGAAGGCCGAGCGGCGCTGCAATGGCAGGTGCGGTGGCCACGGATTCACATCCTGGGCTCCTGATGCCCAAAGGAGGCCAGCGCCGCGCGCGGGTCGCACCCAACAAACCTTCCGCCGCCGCCGCCGCCGCCACTGGTTTGCCTGCACTCCCGCCGCCGCTGCCTTGCGCGGCCGTCTGCACTCTCGGGCCCTGCTTGTGCCAGTCAGCCGGTCCCCTTGCATGTGTGGTTGCTTTTGTGATCATCATCTTGTTGTTGTGAACATGCAGACGGTCCCACACCGCCGCTGCGGGAGCTGGCGACGGTGCTCATCGAGGAGCCGCCGCCCTCCAGCGCCGCCTCCTCCACAGTCACCATGATGAATAGCGCCATCGGCGCAGGCATCCTCACCCTGCCCTACGCCTTCCGCTGCACGGGCTGGGTGGCGGGGCTGGCGTGCATCGCGGCGGTCGCCGCCCTCATGTCCTTCACGCTGTACATCCTGTCCCGCTTTGCCGAGCACACGGGCAGCAAGACGTACGGCGCGCTGGTGAGCTGAGCTCCCCCGCGCTTCTCTGGCTGCACCCCTGCTCCTCCACAGGCAGCCGCGGTTGTGCTCTCCCCTGGCAGGGTAGCATGCCCAAAGCCTGGCCAGCGGAAGCCACAGCACAGTGGCAGACAGCACGCGCCTGCCCCGTCGGCGCTGCGCCCGCAGGTGCACACCATGCTGGGCAAGCAGGCCAGCATCGGCATGGGCGCCGTCAAGTTCCTGTTTCTGTTTGGGGGCTGCACCTCGTACCTGATGATCCTCGGTACGCCCGGCCCTCCCTTGCTGCCAAGCCAAGGGCCTAGTGTCACGCTGTGCCTCCTCTCTCCATTTTTTGTTTCTTTTAGTTTTTCTTTTAATGCACATTGTCGCCACGGGCGCGCCCGCCCACCCGCCGCCCGTTGTTCTGCAGGCGACTCCTTCCACCCGCTGCTGCTGCAAGCCTTTGGGGAGCGGTGGTGGACGGGCAGGGACGCCGCCATCATTGCCGTGGGCACCATCTGCATCTTCCCGCTCTGCCTGCGCACCAGCCTGGGCGGCCTGAAAGGCGAGGCGCGGCCGCACCGCTGCACCGTGCTGCCACGCAGCACGCAGGCCACGCGAAGCCTCTGTGCAACGGCGCCCTGGGTGGGGGTGCCTCTCTCCTCATTCCCGCTGCCCTGCGCCCCCTCGTTGCCCTGCAGCCGTCAGCTCCATGGCTGTCTCCTCGATCGTCGTGGTGGTGGGCGCTGTGCTGTTCTCTTCGGTGCGCAGGATCCGCAGGCCGGAGCACTCCTGGGAGGGGGTGCGCGCATTCAACCCATCCCTCGAGTTCTTCGGCGCCCTGCCCCTCATCATCTTTAGCTTTGTGGTGAGCAAGCCAGGGCGCCGGTGCTGTGGCTCTGGGCCTTGGTGTCAGCTGGCGGCAGGCCTGGGGCGAGCGGCGCCCGTGCCGCGCCTCGCACCCGCCCCGCCCATCGAATCGCGCACCCCCCTGCGCAGTGCCACCACAACGTGATCAGCGTGTTTAATGAGCTCGAGTCGCACCCGTCCCTCTTCCGCCCCTCGGCCAGGCGTGGCGCAGCGGCCGCCGCCCGCGGCCCGCAGCAGCAGCAGCAGGAGCAGCAAGGGCAGGAGCGGCAGGGGCCCGTCACCAGCTATGAGTCGCTGCCCTCGCCGCTGGCGCTGTCGCAGCGGAGCATGCGGCACCTGAAGTCATCCAAGCTGCGGGGCATGGTGTGGGTGATCGCGGTGTCGATGAGCCTCGTGGCCCTGCTGTACTGCACCATAGGTGCGCCGCCTGGCGGCCTTGCTGCGCCACCTCGGCAGCTGCCGCCTGCTCAGCCGCAGCCGGCCGCCCAGCCAGGTTGCCGTCCCTTGTCGGCCACTATCTGGGGCTATCCATTCCCAGCCTTTTCAGCAACTGACCTTGCGTGCAGGCCTGGCTGGCTACCTGGCGTTCCCCGCCGACGCCAACCCAGACATCCTCGTCAGCTTCGGGTGCACCAACATGCTGATGCAGGTGGGTGCGCCCGCGGCTGCGGCAGGCACATATTCTCTGGGAAACTGCGCTGCAACTGATGCATGGCATGCTGGCATGTCATGCTGGGTTGTCTGCTGCCACTGCCCAGACATGAGGCAGCCTTGTGCTGAGCGCAGCTCGGCTGGGAGGGCAGCGGCCACCCCGACACCGACGCCGCCTGCTGCTGCCGCTGCCGCCCCTTGCGCAGGTGGCGCGGGCCTCCATCGGCCTGGTGTTGATCGCCTCCTACCCTGTGGTGCACTTCCCCGCCCGCGCCGCCATCAGCGAGCTGCTGCACCACGCGACCGGGCGCCAGTTTGTTGGCAAGGCGTTTATCGGGGCCGAGGCGGTCGTCTTCTTTGCATCCACCCTGGCCATTGCCGTGCGATGCACCGACCTAGGTGCGTGCATGGCTGGCCGTGCCACCGTGCAGACCTGTGTGTGCGGAGCAGCCTGGCTCTGCCACAGTGGCCGACCCCTCCCTCCCCACGCCCTGCTCCTGCAGGCATCGTCTTCAAGCTGATTGGCGGCACGTGTGGCGCCATGCTGGTCCTGGCCCTGCCCGGCGCCCTCCTGATGCAGTACGCCTGCTCCAAGCACCGCGACGCGCGGCAGCCGCTGGCCCTGCTGCGGGAGCCGCTGCTGGTGGCGGCGGCGGAGGAGGGCGGCGGCAGCAACGGCGGCAGCGCAGTGACGTGGCGGGTGTACAGCCTATGGTGCAGTAGGCTGTTCTGGGGCGGCTTGGCGCTGCAGCTGCTGGCCGCCGCGGTTGCCGTGCTGTCTGTGGCAACAATACTGTGGGACCTGCCCTCGGCATAGCTAGTTACTTGCTTTACACTAATTGTTTGTGAATCGAAGTAACTATTCAGGAGTTGACTACTAGTAGGTCATCCAGCGCTGGGGACAGTGGACTAGGGGCTGGGGGTTAGTATGTCTGGAGGACACAGGCTTAATGCAGCCTGCTCAGCACGCATGCCGCAAGAGGAGTACCTCAGGCTCTCTCGGCACAAACGATGAAACAGAGGAAACAAAGGGTTCCCTTCAAAAGGTACTAGGTGATGTAGTACGGCTGAAAAGGTACACACTCGCCACGGTGTAGGAAAGTGGAAAAAAGATTAAAGCAGAGGCAGGAGGGATCGTACGTTAGGTGAAGCCAGCTGGCAAGAAATGTATGCCAGGGGCAATGCAATACATCGCGCAACAAATGTGCTACGGCACGGGCACAGCTCACATCAGTGAACCGCAGCCTCTTATTGGGGTGGGGATCTTCAAGGGTTGGTTGCACGCACTGGCACCGGAGTTTCTGTTCCAAAGTATTCGGCTTTCTGCTGGGTGGGAGGGTTTCTTGCTTGGGGTGTGGCTCTTCTGGGGGGCGCGTTGTGGGGTGTGATAAGTGGGTGATAGCAGGAAGTGGTGGGGACTCTGCCTGTGGCTCCTAGGGAATGGAGATAATCTTAGAAGCGGAGGGCACGCCTTGGTCGGAGATGATGACCAGCATGTACCTGCGGGGCGTAACAGCAGTGCAAGGGGTGGGCAGCATGCCGAGCTGAGCGCAGGCGCCAGAGCTGCGCTGGCTGTCCTGCCCGTGATGGGAGGGGCGGGCATGTGGTCCAAGCGATGGCCACGTGTGGCACCAGGGGCAGGCACTCACATGCCAGGGGGCAGGATGTTGCGGTTTCCTGGGATCGCAACGTTGAGCGTGCCGCCGCCTGGAGCGACCACGTTGGAGGCGATGTTGAGCCACAGGGCACGGGCATCTGCAGCAGGGGGGACACACGGGGCAGGCAGGAGTTGGAGTAGCTGCCAGGCTGGCCACCAGCAGCGCTGGACGCCAGCTGGCAGCCCGCCAGCCAGGCAGGCACGCGAATGCGGCATCCACCCCAGGATATCGTGCACGATGGCCTATCGTAGCGGGGTGACTGCAGCACAGCGTCCATGCGCCAGCTGACGCCAGGCGGCGCCAGCTGGGCACCCGCCACAGCCACACCGAACGGCGCGCCGATCGCCCCCGCAGCCACCATGCCGCTGCGCACCAAAGTTCATGGAGTGTGTGGTGGCTCCGTTGCGGATGAGCAGGGCGCGGATGACTGGGCTGGCGGAGGTGTAGGCCACGGTGGCCTCGCTCCCCGCTGGCACAAAGGAGGGGGCGTCGGTGATGACGGGCTGGGGGCCCTTGCTGAGGTAGGGAGGTGAGTAGATCTCTGCTGTCTGGTCGTTGGTCACATCGGAGCCAGCCAGCATGACCTGCAGCGCAAACGGCGGCAAGACACGGCGGCATGGAGACGCAGGCATCCATGTTGTGTGCGTGTGTCCACAGGAAAGCTGTGCTGGGTAGAGGGGGTGGGCCGGCAGAGGGGCAGCTGCGGCAGCTGCCAAGGGATGCGCTGCCGTTGCCGCCGGGCCGGGCCGGGCACGTGCCTTGCAGTCAGGGAGGAGGATGGAGATGCTGTGGTAGAGGCGGGGGCGCATGCCCTCGGCCAGCGAGCCCTTCTCAGACCACATGCCTGAAGCGAGAAGAGGGGAGGGGAGGGGCAATGTGAGGTGCTGCCTACAGGGCAGAGGCGACCAGAATGTGAGCCCACTCACGCATGCAGCCGGCGGCAGGCAGGCTCCGGCACAACCGCGCCACACAGCGCTGGGCTGGATGCGAGGCGCGGCCGAGCGCCGCCGGCGCACCTGTGGCGGGGTTGAAGATGGAGGGCTCGTAGATCGCCTCCGACTCCTCCCCCTTGCTGCACCGCTCCTCGCACCACCAGCTGGTGCCGTCCCTGAACTCCACGTCCCGCGACTCCTTGCTCCAGCCCTGGGAAGAGAGGGGTGCACGGGCGCGGCGCAAAGGGAGTGGTGGGCAGGGGCCGGGCGGCGTGGGGCAGAGGCGGGGCGCGTGCCACGCGACAGGCGCACCGGCGGCAGGTGCGGCCCATCACCATGGCCCACACCAGGCAAGGCTGGACGCAGCGGCAAAAGCCAACGCTGGCATCCCCTCGGCGGTCCGGCTCACCGCGACGCCCACTTGGGAGCCTCCGAAGAAGCCGATGGTGCCGTCGCACAGGATGACGGCATCCCCCATGACACGCCCGTACGGCATGGGCCCCACAGACTCCCAGGTGGCCTCGGGGCCGGCAGTGAGCTGCAGAAGGAGGTGTGTGTGTGTGTGTGTGTGTAGCGGGCGGCGGCGGCGGGGAGGCACGCAGGCGCTGGCTGCTGCAGCAGAGCCTGGATGGAAGCCCCACATATCGGTCGGAGGCATGGGCCGCCCATGCTGGCCGCCCCGGCAAGCAGCTGCGCCCCGGCTGCGCCCCGGCTGCGCGCGGCTGCCAGCTGGCCGCCGCACCTCGATGATTTCGGCGGCCTTGGATGCGGGTGTGCTGTAGTCGGCACGGTCGTCGGCGGAGCCGATCGCACCCAGGAAGAAGAGCTTGTAGTAGGGGGGGAGGATGGGCAGCAGCACGCCCTCGCGTGCACGGGGTGGCGGGTGTGGGGAGGAGGGAGCGCCGCGCCGCGCAACGTCACCACGCGGCAGTGGCGGCTGGACACAGGGAGGGCCAGCCGCCAGGCCGGGATGGGCCGGGCTGGCAGGCGGGGCTGGCACCTGCCTGCCGCCACGGCCGCGGCGCCGGGGCTCACCCGTCTGCGGGTAGGACCAGGGGTGGCCGGGTCGGGAGGCGTACGAGAACTCCTTTTGGAAGGTGGAGGGCCCGGAGCGGCTGTACTTGACCAGCAGCTTGCCCGCCGACACGACCACGCCGCCGTCTGGCGCCACCAACACGTGCGGGTAGGTGTGGATGGGGAAGGCGGCCGACAGCTGGTCAGACATCTCCCAATGGTCGCCGTCAAACGACCTGCGAGCAGGGGGCAGGCAGGGGGGCGTGGCGGGGTGGCGGGCTGGTTGGAGCGGAGCGGTGCCCGCCGCGCAGCGACCCAAGCCACGCGGGGCACACCGCTGCCATGCTACCGATCGCGGACGCGGCGGCCTCCTCGTCCTGACACCAGCACCCCCCCGGCTGTCCGGCGCAGCGAGCCGGCGCATGCCGCCCGGCTGGGCCGCCGCCCGGTGGCCCTTGCAGCAAGCCTCCCATCCTTTGCTCACTTGGTGGCGGGGTCGTACACCTCGTAGCTTGGGTTGTCGTACTCAGTCTCCCCCTCCACATAGTACCCAGCCTTGCCGCTGTCCGCCACTCCCCCCACCACCAGCACCTTGCCGTCGCCCAGCGTGGCCACGCCGGGGTACCAGCGCCCTGACAGAAGGGGGGAGGGGGCAAGAGGGAGGGAGGGGGCAGGTTGTGTGGGCTGGGCGCCAAACGGGTGTCTGGCGGGGGGCGAGAGCCGGCACAGGGCCCGGATGTGGAGAGGGGCGCCGAGTGGAGGGGCAGGCGGGAGGATGCCCCAGGCAAGATGGAGCTGCCCAGGATGCAGGCCCCAGCCCACCTGAGTTCATTTTGGTGCTCCACAGGCTGCCGGTGCCGTGGTTGTAGGAGCGGAACCTGCGCGGGCGATCGGGGTGTGCTGAAGAACGGCCCAGGGCTGAGGGGAAGCATTGTAGGCAGGGCAGCCGCAGGCAGCGCGGTGTGGGGTGCGAGGCGTGGAGCGGCCCGGCGGCGTCGGTGGCGGCGTGTGTGCATGGTAGTGTGGTGTGGGGCAGGGCTGGCTGTGGTGGCGGCACAGGCAGGCGGGCAGGCAGGCAGGCAGGTGGCAGGGCAACGGGCAGGAGGTGGCACAGTGTGTACCAGCAGGCCGGAGGCAGCAAGCCCCGGCAGGGCAGCAGGCACCAGGCAGCAGGCCCACCAGTTGATGTCCTCAGCGTGGCCCCCAAAGATCAGCACCTCGCTCATGGCTGTGGTGGTCTGGGCTGCGCGGCAGCAAGCGGGCGGGGCATGGCGCGGGTCAGGCGGCACGGCGGCACAGGCTACCGAGGAGGGCGGCAAGGTGCCGCGTGCTGGGCAGAAGCAGCCGCGCTGGGGGGCGGGCGTGCTGTGCTGTGAAGGGCAGCGATGCTGCGCACCCCCGCAAAAGCTGTTCTTGCAGTCGTGGATGCCACACTCGTCCAGCAGCTGCTCGTAGGTGCGGGTGGCGGGGTCATACACCGCGCTGCCATACTCCTGCAGGCCCTGGTTGCGCGACTGCGCACATACGGGGGTGGGGTGGGCGGCAGCGGGTGGGCGGTAGGCAGCGGCCGCGCATGGGGGCAAGGGCTCAGCACGCATGGGGTCTAGGCGATGGGGGCAGAGCTGTGGAAGCGAGGGCGGGCAGGTAGTGACTGGAAGGGGTGGGCGGGACGCAGAGCGCGGGTGGAGCGGCCCCGGCAGCGGCAGCGCTGGGCACGCGGAGGCTGCGCAGGGCGCTCACCGACCAGCCCACCACCTCCCCCGCCTTCATCAGGTTGGCGTGGATCATAATGATGCCGGTGCCGCCGCCCGACTCCCAAGAGCCTGCGCAATCAGGGTGGCACGCAGGGCAAGAGGGAGAGGGAATTGAGCATTGCGAGCAGATGGACTGGCTGGCGCAAAGAGGGCAGGGGCGGCCGCGCAGCACGGTAGGTGCGCACCCTGGCCGCCCTTGGGAATGTAGGTGCCGCCAGGCACCGCAGCCCCAACCATCGGCTCAAAGTCCAGCAGCTGCTTGCGGGGCCCGCGGCGGGCCTGAAGGGGGTGCAGGGGGCGGTGTGGAGCAGAGGTGACGAGCGGCACGCAGCCGGGGCTGCTGGGGCACACCAACCGGTGCGCAGGTTACGATGCCGCTGCGGCGCTGCTCGTATCCTGCCCTTACTGGCGCCCCACATCATGCAGGGGCACCCAAAGGCAAGGCGTCTCTAGCAGGGCAGCTGGTGGCCAACGGGGTCTAGGGCGTACGGCAGCGCCAGAGCGGCAGGCAGCTGGGCGGATGCCGCTAGGGGCACGAGGCCTCTCCTGCGTGATCCGCCGATCCCCGCCCCACCTGGAGACGTCCCTGCTCCGAGTGGTGACCCCCAGGCGCTGCCATGCGCAGCATGTCGCCCGCTGCATCTGGTGCCAGAGCCGCTGCCACAAGCAACAGCGGCAGCAGCCGCCTCGCCATATTGTGGGGAGACGGAGACGGGGGATATGGTGCCGCTCTGGGGCTTGCCAAACTCACTCACGCGCAAATCACGCGGCAGCGGCCAACGTGTACGGCACGCAATTGGGGCCCCTAGCCTGCTTGCAGACCTTGCGGTCTGTTGACAGCATTGAGTTCACGGCAGTGAGTGCCTGCTGCACATACCCTGCACCCACTGGGCGGCACCCCGGCGCGCACGCCCCGCCAACTTTCGCTGTTGCTCAGTGAACGGCTGGCATTACAGTGAATGGGCAGATGAGTGATGGGTATTTGCTTGGGGTGGTTCGACGGAAAGCAGGGGGCGAGTGGGGCAGCCCTGGGGCGGCGAGGCGGCCAAGCGGCTGTACAGTTGGGTTGGGAGTTTGGAAGACGCAATCCACATTGGCCGAATGCAGGATGAGGGGAGGGTTCAAAATGGTTCACCAGGAATCGACAGATCTGGAAAGGCAGTCCACAGACGGAGTTGCTGGGGAGGGTCGGGTGGTGCAAAATGCGAGCTCGACCTCGAGCAAGCGGCTGGCAGCTGATTGGTGTGAAATGTTTGTTGCCTGTGCCGCTCAGGCCACCGTGTACTTGACGATCATGCCGCCGCCGTCACAGTGGCCGGGAACTTGGCATGCAAAGAAGTAGTCACCGGGCGCGTCAAACTCGAAGGAGGCGGCGCCGCCGCTGGTCTCAGGGGCGACCTCCACCATCAAGGGCGGGTTGGGTGAGTACGACTGCAGGCAAGGGCAGGTGGCAGGAGGGGGTGCCGCCAGGAGCAGAAGGGCATGGGCATCGGATTCAAATGGAAGCCGCAAGCATGCCGCGGCGCCGAATGAGAGCCTTGACGGGCTGCCACTTCGCCGGCAGCAATACGCACCGCAGGGCAAGTGCCATCCGGGACACGGTACACGCCGTGGAAGCCGGTCCACGTGAACTCCACGGTGTCACCAACCTGCGGGGGAGCAGGACCAGCAAGTCAAGCGGGCAGCCATGACGGGAAGGCAGGGAGCGACGCCTTGTGGAGAGTGCCACTCTAGCGACCTGGCAGCCTAGGTGCGGCAAAGGTGTTGCCTTTGTTCCACATACACCCAGTGGGTGATCGCACCTTGGCGGTTTGGTCGGGGTAGGAAGGCGAAGTTTGGAAGTCCCAGACGAGGGGAATGATGGTGCCTGCATGCAATTAGGGCGGTGGTGCCATTAGCCGTCGCACATGCCCAACGGGACTGCCTCAAAGCCATGCCCGAAGCCGGGCGGCGGCGCACCGCTGGGGGCTGCCGTGGGGCCTGCGGAGGGTGCCCCGACAGGAGCCATGTCTTCAGGGGCTGGCGCGCCCGACTGATCAGCCTGCAAGTGGGGAGAGGATGGGCATGGGCGGGGGGGAGGGGTGGGCGCTTGAGGTTGGGTCCCTGATGTTCTGGTTGCGTGCGCCCGCTGTGCTTGCTGTTGCTGCCCGGGATGCTGGGCAGCAGCAACGCACCGTTTCGGAGAGGGTGCGACCTGCACGCAGCATGCCAAATGCGGTGGGCGGTTGATAGCGGCGGCGGCACCTGGCGGCGGTGGCAGCAGAAGTACTTTGGCTTCCATGCCAAGCTCGTTATAACATGAGGCCGCTGTTCACAGCCAGGCGGCCTCGAAACAGCCGCTTGGTCGGCCGCAGGGGGAGGCATTGGCTTCGGACCACATGCCATGCCACGGCAGCCATGCATGGCCGCGCAACCTCGCGGCACCGCCACCGCTCACCCAGAGACGGGTCTGCCAGGGCGCAGAGCGCCAGCAGAGCTGCGCAGAGAGGGAGGTGCGGCGCCATGTCGGAGGTCAGGGTTGTTTAGGGTGGCAGCTGCTTCCAGTGGCAGCTGCTTGCAAGGGTGCGTGTGTGGCAGCTGCTTTCAACGCGTGTGCGATTTGTGGGGGACATGGCTTCCGGGCCGGCTCCAGCAGTACCAGAGGTAATCCCCCGTCGCCCGCCCCGCACTTTGCAGCCCAGCACGACTGCCTGTGGAGGGCACGGGGCATGGAAGGCAGCGGCTGTGACCCTGCCACCTCTTTCCCAGCTACAGCAACTACGGCCACTGCCAGATGGCCATGGCATGCATGGGCGCTCGCGTGGTGGGCCCAAGTCGGCGGTGAATGCCTGCTGGACCTTTGCCGGGTTGTTCATCTTCACCACATGCAGCGTCCTGCTCATCATGTCATCATATACCCCTCCTTCCTTGTACCCGCCGCAAGTGTCTGGCGGTGGTTGGGCGGCGGCGGCACTCTCGCTCCACCTGAGCCACATTATGTTGCTCTCACACACCCCACAGCTGTGGATGGTTGGCCAGCCGGATTCCCTCCCAGGGACCCTAAATGTCAAGCCCAAGCGGCTGAGAGAGGCAATGTTCTGTGGCGCAAAAAGGCAGTGCACCAACGGAGAATCGAACTCCGGTCTGGTCCGTGGCAAGGACCTATGCTACCACTATACCACTAGTGCGCGTAGTGTCAACATATGATTTCGTTTACAATACAATCAGCAATGCCGATTTTCCTGCCTCAAAAAATTCTCTGTTGTTCATCGTTCCTTGCTCGAGTCCCCCGGCGCGGCCGGGCCCCGCGCCCCCCTCCCGCTCCTCTGGGGCCCTTCTTGAGCAACACCCTGCCTTGGGGACGCAGGACGAGGGCGACCGCAGCATCGCCGGCTCGCTTGGCCCGCCAGCCGCCCATTCTGCAACTGCCCGCACTCGAGATGGCCTCCTGATGGTGCGTGGAGGGGTGCCCCGGGCCCTGCGGCGCCCGCGGCTCGGCTAGTCCGGCGAACACCCCCTCGGGCCGGTGCCGGCTCCCGGCCCGTTGTATGAGCCCCCGTGTGCCCCGTTGGTGCCCGGCCACCCCCTCTGCGACTTGTTCGCCCCCTACGACGCGTTTTGTGCGCGCCAGCCCCTCCCCCCAATTCCCGCTTCCGTGTGTCGCGGCCCCAAGCCCTGGTGCTTTCCCTTCAGCGAATTGAGACGTGGGGTGGCGTGGCTTGGCGGAGGAGCCTGTTGCCGCCGAGCGATTTGCGTTCGGGCAGGCCGCTGCTGCTGCTGCCGCCGCGTGCCGGGCGGCCCGCCGTCCCCCCCTCTTTTCGCTCACTCCGTGCCTGCCGTTCTGGTCGTCACGCCCCTACTCTCCCCCCCGTAACCCGCAGATGCTTGCGCTTCTGCGCTTGCCCCGTCCTCCCCTTGCCCGGTCTTCCCGCGTGCCGCCTTCACCTTTGCGGCCCCCGCCCGCCCGCCTGGCCGCTCTCCCAGCTACTGTGCCGGGGTGGGTGGGCCCGCTTTCTGGTGGTGGTGGTGTGCGGGTCCTCGACCTGCCCCTCCCCCCACTGGTATGCTTGCCGCCCTTGGGGCTGGCCATCAGG